CCGAGCATTCTCAGGAAATACAGCCTCTTCTGTGCCTTCTTTATTAGCATGTTGGCATTTATAGTCCATGAGAGGTCCTCTGAGATGTAAGTACCCAGAAATTTAAAACTACCAACTCTCTCCACTTCCTCACTATTTATGTACAGGGGTAAATGTACATTTCTCTTCTTCCTAAAATCAATTATGAGTTCTTTAGTTTTTTTGATGTTAAGTGTGAGATGATTTTCTTTACACCATAGTATCAATCTTTGTACTTCCTTTCTATAAGCAGACTCATTGTTCTTATTTATGAGCCCCACCACTGTCGTATCATCCGCAAATTTAATAATTGCATTGGTGTACATAAAACCCAAGCACTAGCCGTAAGTAACCCATAATACACTGCAAGTCACATGGGATCAACACATTTTAAAAAATCCTGGTAGCCGATAAATGAAAGAACCAGAGAAAGAAAGACTGAGGTTAACACAATGATAATGTATTTTAAAAGATTAAAGGGTACTTCCTGAACATGCAGAGTACTAATCTTGACAACATCTATCTGCAGGAGTATAGCAGGAGGGACTGCTCACTCTTGCATTAGTGTTGGATGGGGTCTTTAGAGATCTGGATTCAAGACCACCAAACCATGAAACCAGCTGTATGAACTCAAAATCTTGCACAGCTCCGCATGCACAACAGGAATGTCCTTGCCAACAGCAGATGGCTGCTGATTAGAAGCTTCCCTTTGGGATTTCTAGTTCCAAGCAAACATTGTCATACTTCAAGACTAGTATTCAGCATGTTCAAGTACTAGTCTCTCTCAGCCTGATGGACCTTTGAGTCATGTACACTGCCTTGAGTGCGCTAGAAGAAAGGTAAGATGCTATAACTAATCAACAAACAAAACAGCTGTGATGCCTGATTACAAATATCTGCAAATATATATTTATTTCCAGAATAACTTCAGAAATGGAAACCATGACTCACTATGGCTGCAATGTGACTCGGGAAAACTGAGGTATTTGGAAAGTGAAAGCAAATACAATCCTTTCTCCCTGTTTTCTCAGTTAGTTGCGTTATCCCTGATACAAAAGGCTCTCTGGCTGCTTTAATATTTGGAAATAAGTGTCCCTGTTTGCATCACCCTATATTATCTGTAATCATTCTGACTCTATAATACTGTCTGATGTGTTCACATGGTATAGCATACAACAGGTGGGATCATTTCTCAGAGTATTGGTTGGGAGAAGTAGAGTAACATCTCAAACAGCTTCAATATTCTAATACATTCCATATTCTCTGAAGACTGCTCAGCTGACAGTACAATATACAAGTTATTGGGTGAGTGCTTTTCTGAATGTTAAATGGCAAGAATCAAGAAGATTGCCACTTATTACTTTGATTACCTTGAGGCCAACAAGGTCAGAGTTTTGAAAGGGAGTGAAGAAGGAGGCATATGTTTACATGGGTTAAGTTATACCTGGTGTACCAAAAGTTAAGCTAGATTCAGGCAATAATAAAATGGTGCTATAAATTTAAATGAAGCATTATAGTGATGAAGTTGTTGGGGAGTTGAAAATATATTTGGAAGGAATAAATGTATAAAGGCTTATAAAAATCTACCCTTTTCATACAGACTTACTACATATGTGCCCCTATACAGCATACTCAACTTCTCTCAAATCAGGAATGTAAAAACATAGGAAACTGCCTTGTACCACAATCGGTCTATCCAACCCAGTTTTGTTATTTCTGACTGGTAGCAGCTCCCCAATGCTTCACTGCTTTTTTTCAATATGCCTTTTTAGGCTGTAAGCTTCTGTATTTTTAGAATGTGTGTTCCTGCAATGTTGGAACATAATTATAACATGATTCTTGTTATAATATGTTCTGCTTACAACTTAAGTTTTGTTTTTGAATGTACTTTTGTTTGCAATTTCTCATAAGTTGTATTCACACAGACCATATGAACCACACTTTTTTCAACCTTGCTGGTACAGGCTTTTGAAATTATGATCAATCTGTTGAATAACTTCTATCCACATTGGTTTGGCATGCATGAATGCTGATGTTGATTTGCTTTGTACCCACTTTTCTGTGCCATGGGCAATGCATGGCAACCAAACTCGCTGAGTGTAGCACCTTAACAGCATCATCTTTTAAGATTTTAAATAGTTCAACTGGAATGCCATCACCTCCACTGGCCTTGTTGTTAGCCAGGCTTTCTAAGGCCCATTTGACTTCACTCTCTAGGATGTCTGGCTCAGTCAGCAACCACACTATCTGGGTTGTATGGGACATCCAGATCTTTCTGGTATAATTCTTCTGTGTATTTTTGCCACCTCTTCTTGAGGTTATGACTATACATAAACATATATTGGTATAAATGAAGTAGGAAACTGAAACCATTCAAATAGCCTGTGTGACTAGGCCCATCATTGAAAGAATTCTGGATGACAAGTTGCAAGGATGGATTTTTGTTAAAGCATTTGTGCCTACAGTTTTTCCATAGCTGTAAGAATATTACAGAATATTTCAACACAGTGTAGTGTAGGAGGTAGAGTGATGAACAAGTCCAAATCCCTGTTTGGCCATGGGAATTCACTGAGAGATCAATGGTAAATAATAATAATGTATCATTTTATTACTGTTTAATATAATAATTGTATAATAATTAAAATTGTAATTGTGTGCCATCACATACTTTCCAACTTATGGAGATGCTTCTCAGGAGTTTCTAGATGTAGAGTACTGACTAGTGGTTTACTCTTTTCATTTCTGGGGGCATCCTGGGATCCTGCAGCATACGCTGGCTCTTCCCCAGGAAGTTAATGGAGAAATAAAGTTCCCATTTCTGGCTTAGCAAATCCTTCCTTGAATATCTGCCATACCTTGAAAACCCTGTTAGGATCACCATAAGGGAAATGTGATCTGACAGCTTATGACATGACTTAAAATACACAAGATCGGAAAGTAAATGTAGCACCAGTTAATGCTGAAAGGCTTATGAGATTATTAGTATTTTGACATGGACTGCAAAGATAAGTATAAAAGTGCTATTCTAAGTGTATTAGTAACCTGAGAATTTATACATTACTTTAGATTAACTTTAATTATTATGATTATGGAGTTACAATACATGCTGCCTTTCTTCCAGTTAGTTTATGGTGATATACAAGGCTCTTCCGTTCTTACTCCTCTCAACAAACATTTTTCCAGCTCACGCATAAGTAATGGGCAATTTCAACAGCAGTTCTGGCGGCATCTCATGTAGAAGTCATTAGAATCTGTGTCCCGGGTCCACCTTCTTGAGGCACAGAAGCACCAGAAAAGGTAAGAAGCTATGTTTCAGTCCAAAGTGATGGACGAGATTCATGATCCGATATTTTGTCGAATGTGACAAATTCAGTGTGATCCATTGGTAGTATACAGTATCTTTGGACTAAACTTTTATACTGTTCTGTTAATGCCATACTTACTTCCCTGGGAGTAAATCCTACGGAATTCAGCGGGATAGGTTTTTAGTCTCTGCAGACATCAGCTACAAAAGCTAGAAAGCGGCTCCATCTGTCCTTCATCTACTCTACAGTAGTACTTCCCAGCAGCAAGGGAGCGAACGACTGGGCGCATTCAGGGACCTTATGTAAACATTCCCCGGAGCCAAGCTTGGTCTCTGCCCGGTTGAGGGCCGCGGCAGTGGAGCGAAGGGGGGGAGGAAGGCCGGGCCGATTAACGCTGGGGATGGTTTCCCCCTTTCCAAATGCCTCCCCCTCTTCTCGCCCTCCTGCAAGGGGGCCCCGGCAGCGAATACCACGAGACCCGCCCATTCCTCTTCAGAGGCTTTCGGCCCTTTGCTTTCGCTTTTGGAACCAGACAAGCCGCCGCGGCCCCGCCGAGCCATGTTGAGGACGCCGCAAGGAAAGGCGCCGGGCCTGAGTCCCCGCAAAAGCGGCACCGACTGAGCCTGAGAGGAAAGCGGGAGCTGTGCCGCTGGCAGGTAGCCCAGTCGGGCGCGCCGGAAGAGCGCTCCATGCCCGCAAGGGGGGAGGGGGTTGGCTAGACGTGGGGAAGCAGGCGAGGAGCGGCGGCGGCGCTTTGGCGACCCCCCCCCTCCCACCGGCCTCAACCCAAGAGTCTTTCCAGGAGCGGAGCGGGGCTCGACCAACGTCGTCCCTCTCTGCCTCACCTCCTCTTCCCCGAGCGCTCAGCTTGTTGACGGGGAGAGACCCATAAAAAGGCTGCTCGGTCCCCAGGCCGAGAGGCTCCACCGCGGGGCGGCCGTCCAACCGGGAGCGCTTTGCTTTTGGATGTCGGGCGTGAGAGGAGAGAGACCCATGGCCGGGGGAGGGGGGGACTCGATCCTGTATCCGCGGGAGGAACAAATGGCGGGATCACGAGCGGTATTAGACGAGCAACTGTTTCCCACTTCTTGCCAGACCTTTCCTGCCGCAGGTTTCAAAACAAAAGCGAACCACGTACAAAGACCTCTTGAGAAGTCCAGGCGAGATAAGTCATTCCAGCCCTCAGCGTTTTATCTAGGGTTTTTAATTGTTGTTAGCTGCCTGGGGTTCTTTTTAAGGAGAAAGGCAAGTTGAAAATAGAATATTTAAGTACACTACGTAAGTAGTGAGAGTACCAGCAGGGGTTGAATAAGGTGCCATGTGCCTTTGTTTTCCCCATTTAAAATGACGTGGTAGGCATGCCTTGCATCTGAACCTCAAAATGCCAGAGGCAGGGGTGGGGGACCAGGAGACAGGCATCTAGTGGTCTCGTGTGTTCCCGGAGGCGTCTGGTGGGGCCACTGGAAGCTGGACTAGAAGGGCCCTTGCCCTGATCCACCAGGGCTCTCCTTGTGCTCTTATGCATGCACGCATGCAAAAAACCGGGATAAAACAACGTACTGTGCCTATTTCAGTGACGTTCAGAGGGTGTCAGCAAACGGGTTTGAGAGACAGCCTAGGAGTAAAGGAAAGGGCCTTCTGAATAAAGCAAACCCACTGGCCAGGCTGGCTGGGAGATTCTGAGAGCTGAGAAATGTCTCTTCCCTCCCCCATGTCTTTCCCAAGTGGTCATAAATCTCTTGTCAGCTTCAGTTTCCCTTTCGCATTACAGGGTTATTAGCCCACAATCCAGTCCTAAACCTGCTCACTCCAAAGATGGATTGCTGTGGATATCTGATAAAGTGGGATGCTGGTCTAACAAAACATGAACTCTGCTAGTCTTTTAAGATATGACCACAGTCTTTTTTCTTCTTAGTCAAGTTGTGCCTGATCATTGGTAGTTTCCTTCAGCGATGCTATCTTTTATTCACTTTACATTCCTTCTAACAGAAGAAGATCTGCTCTGCAGATAAGAAACTTCTGGGGACAGCAACAGCCTCAGAACTTCTTGGTTTTTTTTTCCTTTTAAATATATATTTTAAATGGTTGAACCTGGTTGTTTCAGTGCTGCCTGCTTCAATTTATGTTTGCTTTACTGAAAAGGAAACGATTGTTTTTTAAGGCTTCTTTAGATATTTATTTATTTATTGAATTTATATGCCGCCCACTCTACCCAGAGGTCTCTGGGCGGCTTACAATAATTATCTAAACTAAAAAGGTTACACTATGTCCCCTGAAGAGCTAAAATGGTGGGACTTTCTTCACATTTAATCTCATGTCATGTCAAATTTATTACAGTGGGATTTAAGGATAACTGTGTTGTTGCTGTAAGTAGATGTATCTTTGGATTGTTGGGTACCGTTGGCCCTCCAGGTGTTTTTGAGTATAGCTTCTGCATGTCTATCATTTATGATACTTGAGGAGGCTTGAGGTTTCACACACCTGGACAGTTGGAGGGTCTCTGGCCTTGCCTTTTATATAAAAAATATAAAAAGACAATAGACTTCTAGCTCCCATAGGGGGACATCAATAGACATTGGCCAGAATCCTGCTTGGATTCATGGACTGTAAGTGGAGAAAAGCATAAGTAAGCCTGTCTTGCTCAGTGCTTGTTACCTCTCACTTCCTCTAGTCTGAACAATGATTGCTCGTCCAGTCATGCATGCAGTTGTGCAGTACATGGCAAGCCAAAGGAGGAAAAACTGCTGTGTAATAGTCCTTGGGTAGGTGCTATTTCCAATAGGATTTTTGCTTGCATCTGCAATAGTTAGATGACATTTGCATAGCCCAAGGTAGAGAAATCATTATAAAACGCTGAAAATGGGAACTTTGTGTTTCACACAGTCAAACTACACAACACTAGTCATATCAGCTGAAGTTCTATCAAAGACCAAGGCCCATCATGTGACAGGATTCAGTGAAGCAAGAGATCCCCTTTCACACACTTGAATCACCCTCAAATTGAGAGGATTTGCAACAACAAAATATATTGCTGTGCTAAACATATTAGGATGGTGATTTTTATGATCTGTGACTCTGAAAGCAGGTGGTTCACTTCTTGAAAGGCAGAGTTCATTCCAACCAGCTTGACCTTTGTTGTCATTGTTACTGGTTTCTACTGACACATAGAAAGTAGTGGTGAGAATGGGTTTTATTTGTCGACTATTCAGATTGCATGCTACCGCTGGAGCCTCATAAAAACTTTGCCTAGGCCTCCCATGTTTCCTTTTGGGAACCACCATGGAAACTATTACTGAAGAGTTGAATGTAAACATACTTTACCAACCATAGGAGTGGGCACTCGCCTTGTGCTTCAGTCACCTGAACTCCCCCATTTTCCAGGGAGATATAAAACTTCCTTCATCTCCTATTAGCTGATTGGTGGGATTCTAATGGTTGTTGTCTGGAAAAGTACTTTTTTCTTAGCTCTGGCAAGAATTATAATGCTATCTCTTAAACATTAGGTATGTTTCATGACTTAGGGGTTGGCACCATCCTAGGTAAGCAGATGGGCTGAATTTGTAGTATGCTGTATGTCTCATTTAGGTTTTGTGAGATTTTATTTTGCCAGGTTTTATGGGATGTTTTGAGTACAGAGTTTCAAAATAGAACACATCCTGTGCCTTTGGAATTGGAATGGGCTAAAAAGTTTGGGAAATGCTATGTTTATTTCTCATTTGAAGAAATGTACAATAACACTTTGAGGTGGACAGTTACAATGGGTTGACTCCGTGTCCTTCCATTGTTGAGAGACTCTTTGATCCCGCAGATGTTTCCATGCAGAGAAAGGAGAAGGAGATGATTTTCACAAAATTTTCCATTCTCATGTACCCCCCACATCCCTCTCAGTTCTGGAGGATCCCCCAAACAGTACAAAACAGAGAAGGGGAATTATTGAAAATCACCCTCATTGCCATTCATAGAAGTTTCTGCTGGATTAGAGAACATTTCATAAATAGAAGGACAGATATGGATACATCCTTTTACCTCCTTAGAAACCATACCAGCAAAGCTACATTTTATTTTAATGTTATAGAATAAGGATGACGATACAACAGTTCTCTTTGTTATTGACTCTATAAATTCAAATGCAGAAAGAACACCAGCACTTGACTTCCAGTAGGATGCGGTTTTAAAATATGATGACACTTTTCATGGGACCATTGAATTTCTACAAACTTGGTGAGTTAGGTCTCAATAGAATTTAATTTTTCCCCTTTTTTTCTTCTTTTTCTCATCTTGTATTCTTTCAGCTTGGAAGGTAGTGCTCTTTGCTATAGGTTTCACTAGAAATTTCAGTGATAAACAAAGAGAATTCATTCATTCAAACGGTAGCAGTCCCACAGTGTCTAGCCAGCCTTCAGAATCCTGCATAATGTATTAAACCTTATTTTGAAAGAAGCATAGAATACAATCAGAGTTGTGGATTTTCTTATTGCCTTTATAATCCTGATTTATGACCTTCAGTTTGTATGAAGATTTGAGTTTATATCTGAGGGAAGAGTTAGCAAGGGTAGGAATGTTCAGAAAGAGAATATGTATTAAATTGTTAATATAAAACGATCAGTGGGTTTTTCCTTCACATTGAATGCTGTGTCTATGGAATAAAAACAGTGCATTGTGTTTTCGATATTATTTTTGATGTGTGCTTTGATTTTTTTTTCCCCACAGTGTGGGTATGAAATTGTCGTCCTTGTCTTACTCTCATAATAATTTATTTATTTCATAAATTTCTATACTGATGACAGTGCAAAGCACTGCTGCAAGCGGTTTAGAGCAATCAAAAAAATCAAACAGTAAACCCAGACATCCCACTCTTAACATTAAACATTAAAAAATAAAACATAAACAATAATTTTAAAATCTCAAAAGATGGCAGAACAGGAAACTAAACCTAAGGAAGGATGTCTTTGAAGGCCTCTTGACAGAGGACTGTTTTCAGCCTTCTCTTGAAGGATGGAAGGGAGGGAGCCTGGCATACTTCTGTTTGGGGTCTATTTCAAAGGAAGGAGCCACTACCAAGAAGGCACAGTTCCTAGTAACTGTCTTTGCCTTTCCCAGCATGGCAACCTGAAGAACTGAGGCCTGTAAGGATTGGGTGATAGAGCTGATTTTGTTCGGGAAAAGATCCTCCTGTAAATAGTGGGCTCAAAACCGTTAAGGGCTTTTATGGTGGCAATGTGCGGTTGAACATTTTCCCAACTTGTTTCTCACCAAAAGTGAGTGTGTTGGAGGCAGTGGCAGATTCCACCCTTACAGTCTTCCTGCCTGTGAAAGTTTGGTCAAAAGATAGCTTTTGATAACAAACAAGTAAAATTATGTCATGTGTACAGCTGCTGCAAGAAATGAAAACATAGAGCAAATTTAACCACAGTTAAAACTCACTGGCCAAAATCCTGTTGCATAGTTAAGCCTGCAGAAAACAAATGACATTAGTTTGCAGGTACCTCTCACTGCTAACTAACAGGTTCTATTTTTGGACACTCACAAACACACTGGACTGGATGTTCCAGTCATTTCAGAAAGGCATCTCTAAATGTGGATCCAACCCCACCCTCTGTTTTTGGAAGTTTGGAAGATCTTCAGAAACTCAGAGGGTATCTACACACTATACAGTCCTTTGATACTACTTGGCTGTGGCACCACACTATGGAAGTGTGGGTTTTATAGTTCGCTGAGATATTAACGTTCTTTGGTGAGAACTCTAATGCACACTTCCTTGAACTATATAGCACTAGAGCTGTTTAAAAGAAAACTATGAGCACTTTACCAAACTACAAATCTCAAAATTCCACAGGATGGAGCCATGAGTGTGGTAGCAACCTTGTACAATTCTGTAGTTTAGAGACACTTGTAATTTGTTTTGAATGTGGAGTATGGGAATTCCAGTACAACACATCTTGGGGGCACTAGCTTGTAGAGGACTATTACAGACTGACTGTTATCTACAGGACATCATACTTCCAGTATGTCATTCCCAGAGTACTTTCCCATAAGAAATCCTTGTCTAAGGATACTTTCCCATAAGAAATCCTTGTCTAAGGATTGTTTTAAAACATCTAATTTCTTAAAAGTCGGAACAACATATGTTGTATCTTTATTTTGTAAAAAAATTCTGCTTTAGAAAGGAAGTAGACATGATTACAAAACAAAGATGCAGCATATGCCATTTTGATTTGGCCACAACCTTTTTCCTCTTCCTCATTTTTGTGAGAAAAAAAATGACTATCACAAAATGATGATCAACAACATCTGTTGAGAGAACTACCGTGTTTCCCCGAAAATAAGACAGGGTCTTATATTAATTTTGCTCCAAAAACACACTAGGGCTTATTTTCAGGGGATGTTTTATTTTTTTCGTGTACAACAATCTACTTTTATTCAAATAGAGTCATGTCATCTTCTTCTGCTGCACAATGGTGGAGGGTCGGGTTTCACTTAACTGGGGCTTATTTGGGGGGTAGGGCTTATATTTCGAGCATCCTGCAAAATGATACTAGGGCTGATTTTCAGGTTAGGTCTTATTTTGGGGGAAATGGTATTATGTGATCAGTAGGTGGAAGAAGAAGTGCAGATATATTCAGACAGATTCCTCTTAAAAGATAAAGATAGGATAGATTCATTCTGGCCACGCTAACAATGTTTTACTATCCCTATTGCTATTATTCAGTTTCAGGGTTCCTCCAGACATAGCCTTAGTATCACCTTGTTCTTCCCCATTTTTGTCATGTTACGCTAAAAGAACAGAGTGTTAGGAACTTCTTATGCAAGCTTCTCTTTCTTTCAGAGCCTTTTTTTTTTAAACTTCTGTTAGTTACTTTTCCTGGAACCTCTCAGCCATGTATGGTCACTGACCATGGAGATTCTGGAAATATTATTCTAAAATGTAACTTTTCCCAGCACTTTTTTGACAAGTAATCAACTGGCTGAAACCCAGTAGTATGACACAACTAGAGTAGGCTCATTAAATCAATGGGGATTTAGTGAGTCAGCTCCTCCATAAATTCCCTTGATTCAAAGGGCTTACTCTGAGTCAGTGGTTCTTAACCTTGGGTTATTCTGGTGTTTTTGGACTGCAACTCCCAGAAGCCTTCACCACCAGCTGTACTGGCTGGGGTTTCTGGGAGTTGCAGTTCAAAAACACCTGAGTAACCCAAGGTTAAGAACCACTGCTCTAGGTTCAGCTTACTGCTGGATTTCAGCCAATGTGTTTTAAACGTGTTTTAAGCACTGACCAGAGAAGAGAGTGGTTCTTCCAATGCAACCACTGTAGTTCCAGACCTAAAATATGAAACAGAAAATGTACAAAATGAAACATATTTAGGGGAAGCGATTTAACGCAGCCACTTGCCAGCCAAGTGGTAGCTCTCATGTTCCCTTTGGTACATCGCATCACAGTTTAAGGAACAATAGATAGGAGAAGAAGTGTTGGCTTCATGTGTTTGGGAGGAGATACAGTAGAACTTGGATAAATTATTTTTGGACTCCAACACTTAGAATTCCCCAATCAGCATGGGGATTTGGGGAGTTGTAATCCAAAAAGTTAATTTTTTAGAGCTGTGTGACGCAGTTTATTATGACTAGGAATTATGAGTAGCGTTTGGAGAAGGGTGGAGATAATGGACTTTTTTCACCACCCTGTTTCTCTACCTACAATTCTGCAACTTAGCACTATTTAACGTTCCTTCTCACCTTCTCTGAACAATGCTCCTCGTTTTAAAATGAAATCTGAATATTTTTGTAAGAATTGTACAGCAAGCAGACTTCTGTAATTATTTTTCTAATATATTGTTTTAATTTATAGCATACACCAGTGTTATGATGATGTGTACTTTGTGCAGCTTAGTTGGTAAGTGTTTTTCGACCACTTCAGAGATCACGCTTGGAAAAATTCTTTGCTGGGATCATTGCCCATCAGCAGAGCTTGGAGAAATTCTTTTTTCGGCCTGCAAGTTCCAGAATTCCCCCAAATTGCCATTGGAGTTGTAATCCAAAACAAAGCTACTGTTATATGGTACATCCATCAGAATTGCTCCTGCAGCAGTCTCCTTGCAATGAAAGGAAGCTCTGTTAGGGTACTGATCCTTCATTCATTTCAAGAGTATTTATGAAGACAAGTCCCTGTTCGTTGTGCATGATAGCTGATAGGGGTTTTAAAGATGCATACACATAATATCAGAGGAGAACTTGCTATCAGCATATTTTCTGGCCTGTATTCGTATCTCACACTAAACAAGTTCTAACAGGATTTAGGATTTTCCCCCATGCTGTTTTCCTGTTTTTTCTGGGAGAAGGATTTCAGCAGTGTTTACTCTTGGCTTCCTTGTCAGCTTATTGTTGAATACAAACCACATATCAGTTTTAAAAGATACAAACTCGAAACCAGTGGCGTTCTTTTTATAAGTAATCATACACCATGTAAGGCTCAATCCTGAGTTCCTGTGCAACAATAGGTTGAAAGTCAACACGGCCACCCCAATCACATCCAAAGGTCCCTTGATTCATTCCAAGTAGACTATGCTGCACCAATGATGGTTTTGTACAATATATAAATGAAGCCATTGAGTTTTGCTGAAATAATTGGTCTCTTTTAGGGCTCGCTCACATATGCCAAAAGAACCCCAGTTATACCTAATTGGCAGTTGTTTAGATCATTTCATAATTTTCCATTCATATGACACATGACCAATATCAATTCATTTGCCCTGGCAATTGGTATATTTCCCCCTTGCCAAGAGAGTTGTTTTAAATTGTACCAGTGAGGAATCACTTCATTCCTTATCATTTCAGCCTGTGTAACTGTTGCTGTCTATTTATTTCCTTAGCACAGGTGTCAGGTTTCTGGGTTCTGTGGCCCCTCCATGGCCACTGCACTTGTTCCCTTTGAAAATTCTTTTATAGGAATATTGCTAAATTGCTAGTAGCATCCAGGCAATTGGTAACCAGCTCCACAAAAAAACCACATGAATATATAAGAACATAAGGAGAGCCCTGCTGGATCAGGCCAAGAGCCCATCTAGTCCAGCTTCCTGTATCTCACAGTGGCCCCACCAGATGCCTCTGGGAGCACATGAGACAACTAGATACCTGTCTCCTGATACCCCTCCCCTGCTTCTGGCATTTGGAGGTACTTTCCTTTTAAGCCTTGAGATTGTACATCCCCATCATGGCTTGTAACCTGCGATTGACCTTTCCTCCAGAAATCTGTACAATCCCCTTTTAATGTCATGTAGGCCAGATGCTATGCCCACATCCTGTGGAAAGGAGTTCCACAGACTAACAACACGCTGGGTAAATAAATATTTTCTTTGGTCTGTTCTCACTCTCCCAACACTCAATTTGAGTGGATGCCTCCTGGTTTTGGTATCGCGTGAGAGGGGAAAGAGCTTCCCTTTATCCACTTTATCCATCCCTGCAGAATGTTATACATCTCAGTCGTGTCCCCCCTCAGGCTCCTTTTCTCTACACTAAAGATCCCCAAACGCTGTAGCCTTTCCTTATAAGGGAGGTGCTGCAGCCCAGTCATCATTTTAGTCGCTCTCTTCTGCACCCTTTCCAGTTCCACTGTCTTTTTTGAGGTGCATCCACCAGAACTATATCCAGTGCTCCAGGTGCAGCCTTACCAGCTGGTAATACATTGCTCAGAAGTAGGCAGTCTTCCCCTCATCCCTTGCAGGTGAAAGAGGGCTTGAGATGTCCTACTCTGAATTGTAAAGGACAGAGTGTTGAATTTTTTTTAACACTGCTCTTCACAATATTTTGCAAGCCTTTTAAACCCCTTAACCCTGCTCTTCACAATACTTTGCAAGCTTTTTAAACCCTGTTTCCTCCTCCCAACACTGTGCAAAAGGGAAAAGAAAAATGAAAGCCAAGACCTGAGAGGGAGAGATCTGCAGGGAAAGTGAGTAAAGGAGGAAGGGAAAGGAGGAGTAAGAGAGAAGGCACTGTTTCATTGCTGTATCACCTTTGGTAGTTAAAAAAAATAGAACAAGAGAGGGCTGACTGCCCCAAACAAGGAACAGTACAGAAAATGAACTGATACAAAATTGAAGAGCAGTATAGTCTGCTACGAGGGTTCAAATAGAAAGAAATGAATCAATGCAGCTAAAAACATTGTGAATGCTTCCTCCAGTCTATGTACCACATGACCACTGAAAAAAATGTTTCAGTCCAACAGAAGGATGAAAATAACTGGGATTCTTTTTTCATATGTGATCAAGTAGTGACGTTAAGGGCAACCAGGTTTTCCAGTTTGCAGCAAAACCTGGCCGTGCATGGTATTGATTGGCTGGGAATTGTGGTTAGTAACACACTTCCCCTTCCTTTCTGAAGCATCCTGTTTTCAACATTTTACAAATCTGTACTTTTTCTAATAAATGGAGGAAGTCAAAAGAATGGATATTTAACTGAATAAAACATCTATACCTAGTGTGGTATAGTGGATGGACTGATGTGAACTAAGACTTTAGAGACTCAGCTGTAGAACTCAGTGAGGATGGAGATGGCTTGGGTAAAATCATTCTCATTTAACTATTATGATCTCTACAAATCAATTCTGGCTTGACAGCGCCTAGCATAGCATATATCAGAATGCCTATATGAAGCTTAGAGGGGAATAACAGGACATATAACACTGTGCTGGAATTACAAACTCAAATACTTGTCAAATGTGTTATGAAGTCGGGGTAGTCAGGCTTTACTTGAAGAAGAAATAATCTGGTTTGTCTGTGTTGCAGGATGCACTCTTATTGTATCAATGTCAATATACAGTATAGAGAAATATTCTATGCTTGTACTTGAGCTCCCAATCACACAGCAGTATGAGTTAAATTAATATATCAGTTATTGCCATGCTTGCATTATATTGCGTGGGGGGGGGATGAAAGACAAGATGACAAATATCTCATTTTGCATGATTGATAGAATGTGTACTTCCATTTTTTTGCTAACATTTGTAAATGTTTGTCCCCTGCTTCCTGACCCTGCCACTCTTTAACAAGAACTGTCGAACTCAGAATTCAGATCAGAAGTGAAACGACAAGATTTTGAATATTTTTTAACATGGGAAGCTGGAAATAACACAGAGGCATCAGCCTGCTACACTGTGCTCTATACAACGAACAGGTTTCTATTTTTTCATAATATGTATTCACTTTCTGTAAACAGCCATGAATGATCATGATAATTTCATCAGAGTATATCTCCTTAAGTTGCCACCATGTGGAGAACAGAAAGAGTAAAGGCATCTGTAAGCAGTTTTAAGACTAATACATTTATAATGTAAGGGAACACTATTCTTTCGGTCCCAAGCCTGACCGCTACTCTCAGTGTGTGTGTGGACGGGGTGCCCATGTGGGTCTCCAACACAACTCTGGGGTGAGGGAGGAGGTTTTTAGGGTTACAGAGGGAAAGGAAAACAAAAGTCTCCTAGCACCACACAATCTGTGGTATTGCTTCATCTGTGTCAGTGTTAGCATTCCAGAAGCACCAGTGATCATTGCTTCTGGTCACTGGAGGAAGGAACTGGGACAGGAAGATTTAGCTTTAGCCACCCTCTCAGTGATTCTGAACAGCATCACTGTTACCTTTGGTAGCATCAGGGGTGCCTAGTTGCTGGGAGAGAGACTTCGGCTGTTGTGCAGGAGGAACATGGGAGTTAAGTCTGTAATAACTCAGTTAGGGTATGGATAGGAATCATGTACAGCTCCAGCTGTTTTTGCATCTCTTGAACCACCCACCATTGCTTGGGTTGGGAAGGTGAATTGCAGTTTCTGGAATCTCCTAAAAGTGTCAATGCACCTTAAAAGAGTTGCAGATCCCTCTTGTTTGTTTGTGTCTTAGTTAGTTAGTTTAGTGAAATGGAAGCATTCTCAAAATTGTTATTGATGGTAACAAGAGTACATTATTATTAATGGAATAATAACAGTACAGACTTATTTTATTTTGTTCCTCAGAGAAAATAGATCAAACAAATTAATTTTTCAATTTATGTTTCCCTTTCGCCACTATGAAAGTTTACGTTGCCCCATTGAAACAGAATCAGACTCATCAGAAAGACACAAGGTTCAAAACGCATCTTTCTCCAAGTCCAGGTAAACAGAGTGTCTGTTGGAACTCGGTGTTCAAATATATGCTTGACCTTTTTGTGTTTAAAAATCAGAACCTCTGATTTGGGCCATTTGTTCTTGTTTGTTACTTTTTTCCCAATGTGCCGTAGAAAAGCCATCCTGAATTTAAACATTAAAAGCCTGTCTGCTTGGCGTTACTGTGTTCCTTTGTTTCCTTTCTATAGTAGGATTTTGTGGTTTAGAATTAAACCAGTAATTTCTTGTTGTAATGTTCCATTCAGCCACATCCAACAGGGTGACCCTATGAATGACTGATCTCCAAAATGTCCCATTCTCAACAGCCCTACTCAGCTCTTGTGAACTCAAGCCTGTGGCTTCCTTTAGGAAGTCAATCCATCTCATTCTTGATCTTCCTCTTTTTTTACTGCCTTCAGCCTTTCCCAACTTTATTGTCTTTTCCAGAGAATCCTGCCTTCTCACAATGTGCCCAAAGCAGGACAGCCTACTATCGTGTTTCCCTGAAAATAAGACAGGGTCTTATATTAATTTTTGCTCCAAAAATGCATTAGGGCGTATTTTCAGGGGATGTTTTATTGTTTTCATATACAACAATCTACATTTATTCAAATACAGCCATGTCATCTTCTGGTTGCTGCACAATGGTGGAGGGCATGGTTTCACAACTGGGTCTTATTTTGGGGGGTAGCGCTTATATTACAAGCATCCTGAAAAATCATACTAGGGCTTATTTTCAGGTTTGCTCTTATTTTCATGGAAACAGGGTATCAGCAGTAATGGCTGGGAAAGCTTCTAAAGTATATCTGAGCAAATTCAGCTCAGTGATAGGGATCCTTCTCATTTTCTGAATTCAACATGAACTAGGTTCATTTTCCCCAACCTGGCAGCTTCCAAATGCAGTTAAGCTGCAGGCCCCTCACCCCAACAAGCATGGCCACCAACTATGCTATCTGGGGAATTAGGGGTTTGTAATCCAATATATTATGAAGAGTGCAGAACTGGAGAAGGTTAGTACTGATACTGTTTGTTTAGGTTTGAAGCTATATCATGCTGTGGGCAGAGGATAGCCCATTGGAATGTATGTTCAGTTTCTTCACAGTGGTTGAATCATCAGTGATCATCCAAATGCCAATGCAACTGTGAAAAGTCTCTCACAGGAACCGTTAATTTTTCCAGTGGTTGTCCCCAGCTCAGGAGAAGAGGGTTTATCAGCTATAGAAATTTTTCAGACCTCACCACCACCAAATCTCTTTAATGCCTGCACTGTCAAAGTGGCACTGATTCCAGAGGTGGGGGGCCCGTACCTCTCTGAAGAGGTGGCACATATGCTTGAGCTATGGGAACAGTCATCAGCCAGTCCTGGGAAATAATGCATACTGTCTTTTTCTCTCCACCAGGTCTCAGCAAAGTGAGAATCCAATTCATCAAGTTTCAGAACCAGGAGATCCATCTGTCTGTCCATGGTCAAAAACAGCCAAAGACAGGTATGTAGTCAAAGGCAGTTAGATGTATAAGAAAATCATCTGGAAAAGAGAGCAGAGACTAAGCAGGGTCCTCAAACAGAGACAGTTGTTTAGACCAACCACTCTCAACTTTTTTTGCCCATGGCACTTTCAGGAGCTCTTTTTGGGGTCCAGGACTCCCTGTCAAACAAGGATACAAACAACGAACAGATGAATACAAAACAGATTTTTTTTCCAGTCTGTGGCCCCCTTCAAAATGTGCCAGGGCCTCCCAGGGAGGCATGTGGCTCCTGCTAAATTGGCTGGTTTAGATTGAGAAGCTAGGTCTTTACATCAGTGGGTCCCAACCTTTTTGACACCAGGGACTGGTTTAGTTGAAGACCATTCTCCCAAGGATGGGGGTGGGTTAAGGTGTTGGGTATCCATCCGTCTTGTGTGTGCGGGGTGCAGGAGTGTGTCTGTGCATGCTTGTGGGGGGTGTGTGCATGCATGCGGGGAGGCAGGTGGAGTGTGTGTGTGTGGATGTGCAGGCATGTGTGTATGGGGGAGTGCGTGTGGAGTGTGTGCATGTTCCTTCAGCCCTCGAAAATATGTCTTGGCAGCCCAGTCTTTCCAAGGCCACGGACCAGGACCGGTTACTCCTGCTTTACATGGCCTGGGTCAAGGGGGCATCTTTTGGGGTCAATTGGCAATGCTCAGAATGATTACTACTGCAGTCTCATTAGTGACCTTGAGCTATGCTGCTTCGTCTGCCAGATTTGCAATGGAGTCAGAGTGCTAGTGGCATATGAGGTAAAGTGCCAGAACCAAATTGTTGGGCAGACCTAGTTCAAAATGTATACATCCTCTCTTCCATGCTTTCTGGATTTCACTCCTTCTGGTGCCAAAAGGTAGAAACGAGGGAATACATTCTTTAGGGGAATTCAGCAAAGAGTTGCTGAAGTAAGAACTCACTCAGTTTGGGAAACAGGCAGGAGCACTTGAATTTTCCATGAACTGTGGTAGCTTTTCTCAAGAAAACATTCCCTTCAACAGTAGCAGCAACAAAAGCCAGATCTTGGAAACAGAATAAATACGAACTATAAGAAAATACATGGAAATATACTAAATGTAGCAGCATCTGACTTTTTCCATCTAATATTTGGGGATGGGAGGGGAGTATCTGGACTGGGAATCAATACTCTGGTCAGTTTGCATGCTGTTCTCTTTAGTTGTTGTAGATTTAATTGGAAAATACTTTTTTATCTCTTGTTTTCTTTTGAAATAAGCTTGCCTTCAAAATGGAAAGCTATTGCAGAATGTTCCAATATTTCAAGATTGTTCTGTGACCTAACAAAAGAATTTACAGATCCTTGCAAGAACTACAAAATTTTGGTGGTGCAGGTCACAGAAAGTGGAATATATCGTTCATTGCAAATATTCAACCCGTATCTAAACAGTAAGTGATTTCTTCCTTATTTGCGTTTGAAAAGCTGGCTGATTCCTACTTTTAAGTTGATTAACTAAACTGTAAAGGCCCCTATGTAGCCTTTGCAGGTGACTTACAAAAGCATTGCTGACCATATGCTTTCCAGATGTAGACTAACTGCTAGATTTTAATGTGAGTTTTCATGATTTAAGTTCACTTCCTCAGAGACGATCTGAGGAAATAGACTTGATCCATGAAAATTTACATTGAGATATAGCAGTTAGTTTTTAAGGTGAAACAATGTTTTTGTCTCTTGGTTTTTTCCTTTTTGTTTCTCTCCCCCCCCCCCATATGCTTGCACAGACTAACATGGCTATTTTTACATAAACTGCTTAGGGATTATGGAACAGTAGTCCAAGTCTTCTGGAGGTGATCAGATTCTGGAAAGCTATCCTGCCATTAACAAAAGTTGGGTATGAGTCTTGCCGAGCAAAACATTGATGCTCACCAACAATGTAGCAGCATCTAGTCAATTACAGTGGTGCCTCGCTTAACGGGTGCCCCGTTTAACAAAGAATCCGCATAGCGATGGCTTTTTTGCGATCGCAAAAGCGATCGCATTGCAATGTTCCCTATAGGGGAAAATCGCTTTGCGATGATGGCTTCCCCTCATCATCGCAAACGCCCCATTTTTGCACAGCTGATCGGCGGGGCCAGCGATCTTAGCAAAGACCCCCCATTAGCTGTGTGAAAACGGGGCGTTTGCGATGAGGGGGGGGAAAGCTGGGAGCCATCCTCTCCGCTCCAGCCCCTCCCCCTCCCCGCCTTACAGCTGATCCCCACCGCTATTAGAAGCTTGCCCAGGCTTGCCCAGGAGATAAATAGGCAGTAGAAATGCACTCGGGAAGCCTCTGAAAGCGGCGCTTTGCTGGGGTGGGGGGGTGGCAGGGACAGGCCCGCCCCCCCAGCGCCCCCCCGGCGCCGCTTTCAGAAGACTCCTGGGGCTTTTTCAGCAGTGAAAATGCACCTCTGAAAGCCCCACTTTGCCACAGGGCCGTATGGAGGCTTTTCGCATAAAGGTGAGTTTTTCCGCAACAGGAACGCATTAAATGGAGTTTAATGTGTTCCTATGGGGTTTCCCCCCCTGCGCATAGCGATGTTTCCGGATAGCGATGTTAATCCTGGAACAGATTAACGTCGCTATGCGGGGCACCACTGTATTTGTTTTAAGCATTTAATTCAAGGGTAGGCAATTTCACAGCTTGAGATGCCACTTTCCCCTTACCCCACAAAACTCCCTGCAAGGGACTACAACATGCCACTGCTGATTTTGCCATTGACATTTTTGGTGATGAAATCAGCATTTTTGCACTACAAGTCCCCAATTTCATTTTAAATTATCTGTTCTCTCTGCATGCCTTGTTTACTAATAGATTTGTATTCCCAGGAGGCTTTGTCTTAAAAGTATTTTTAAAGTAAAAGTGCCCTGTACTGTCGCTGCTACCACTAGAGCACTGAGTTTTTGTGATTAAAATCAGCAGTTGCAGGTACAAAATTATATTTAAGAAAAAAATCAGAATACCATCATTAAATAACAATCAATCAGTTTTTTTATCGTTTTATGACATCCCAGTTTTATTGGAGTTAAAGCCGGTTGGCAACTTCCAAATTAGACTGAAACAATTCAGAGGACGAGGGATTAAGCTCAGAGCTGGCTTTCACAATAAGAATTAACTTTGAGAATTAAAATAAGATGAGCATGAAAGTTAAGAAATAAAAGTTGGACTGTTCCTGGGTGAATTTACCCTTGAATTGTAAACATAAATATTTGGAAACAAGACAAATGGATTTCATTGAAATGTTGCTTCCAGGTTCATTGGTGGTGCTTAGGTGATTAACAGCAATAATAATAGTTGTGTGCCTTTAAGTCAATTCTGACCTTTTTCAGTTGTCTGTGTAGAGAATAATCATAAGTGGTTTGCCATTCTTTTCTTCTGGGGTGTTCTGGGACTGTGCAGCCTATCCTAGGCCACGCAAGTTTGCTCTTCTGAGAAGCATGGTGGGGAATCGAACTCCCAGCCTCTGGTTCTGCAGCCAGACACCTAACTCACTGAGCTGTCCAGCCAGCTTTTAGATGGTTGCTTCATTAAATCCACTTATGCAAATCTATACCAGAAATGCCTCTGTTTGCAGATGTCATTGATACGTTTGCTTTCTCTGCCTTTTAAACAGCGTGCCTTGGCCTCCCTCAGTTTAATATTTCAGCTTGTCCAAACTGCGTAAATGTGACAGTGAAACTTTCATCGTCCTCATTAGTAAAAGTATATGAAGAACTTGATTATACAGTCACAGTGGCAGCGGAAGGTTTCCCAAACAAGGTTAGTAGTTTATTCTTAAAAGAAGACTCTTAGAGCAAATTCATTTCATAGTTGAGAAGATTGTTTTCAGCTCTAGCACCTCCTATACTGCTCCAAAGCAATGTCCAGTTTTGCCCTTCTAGAGTTTCCTCAGTTGTTTCCACCAATGTGACTAAATAAAAGCTAGACTAAAAAAGCTAGACAAAGTTGCTGTCCCTGTAGTTCAGAGCCACAGCAAGATCTGTTGGAACAAAAATTTTAAGACTCATATAGTGGACCAATTCCTGTACCAACTTTTGAAAGCATACAAGTGGGTGCTGCTATAAGAATGTCAAAAAGCCTGAAACTACACAGCAACACCTTTCCACTGTTGTGGAAGTACGAATTAACTCTCAATGAATGCAACTGTTTCGTCAATGAATGGAAGTGTTGTTGTTATTGTTTTTGTTCATTTGACTGCAAACTTTGTCATGGTTAGAACACATCTATTGAAAGCAGTGTGACTTTTGTATTAGTTGTGTCTCATTTGAGTCCCACTAATTTCTTTGGGTTAGCTGCTCTTCACAGACAAGGCTAAAGTTCTGCCCATTATTGTGATTTTATACCTTTGTAATTGCACAGATTTCACTTCACAGTCTTTGTAGCAGGCCAGTACAAAGCCTACCTTGAAAATGTTACTCTTAGTACAATAATGCCAAGAATCCTTGAGCCAGCATGACTGCGTGGTGTTGGATTATGGGGATTGTAGTCCCCCCAAAAGTTGGATTTGGAGCTCTGTGCTAGTGTAATTATCATCTCCATATTGCATAAATGTAGTCAAAGTGGGCTGCATGTTCCTAATCACAAAATGGTGAGGTGAAGTCCTCCTCCTCGCTCAGACCATAAGTGGAGGAGGTGCTTAGGCTGAGACTGAATACAGGACCATGTTTTGACATTCTCCCGCCTTCTCCCGCCAAGATCTACCCGTGTCACTCGTGCGAGCCAGGAGGTGAGGCTGAGGAGCCTAACGCCGAGGGAGGCCCAGAAGGAGAAGACAAGAAATCGGGCCTTCTCGGTGGTGGCTCCTCGTCTCTGGAACAACTTACCTCCTGAGATTCGCGTGGCCCCCTCGCTGGGTATTTTTAAGAATCAATTAAAAACATGGATGCTTAGGCAGGCCTTCCCACCAGATAATTCCTGAGGCCTTTTTTTTCTTTTCTTCCCCCTTTCCTTCAGCTCTCCCATTCTGTTCAGTATTTCTGTTATGTAAAATTGTTTATACGTATACTTATTGTATTATCTTTTAATTGTTGTTAGCCGCCTAGAGTGGTCCTGACACGATCAGCTAGGCGGGATATAAATGAAATAAATAAATAAATAAACAAACAAACAAACAAACAAACAAATAATGTTTAAGGTGAGACATTCCTGCTCACACTTTACTGTGTTTCACCTGCTCTCAATTTTGTATCCCTATAACTCCATTCGCTTGTCAACGAAACATGAAGTTGTATATGTACAGTATTGAGGGGAGCAGATTACAATCTACAGTATATGTGTTGAGGGGAGCAATGATAAAGGGATCCCCACCTCCTCCATCATTGATTTGAACATGGAAAATTGAATCTGAAGAGGAGGAAGCTAATGTACCTACCTGGTCTCTCTGCGTGAGCAAAACCAGCCCAGAATTTGGTTTCTGGTTTCTGTAGAAAGGCTACCTAGCTAACAGCAGCCCCCTCCCAACAATTCCACGCTCAGTATGATGATGGAAGGGGGAAGGGCTAGCATGTTTTCTTTGATACATGTTCCAAATGCTTCCCTAATGACTTCACATTAATGTACATTTGTAGATCATTTAAAACCAATTGCTACATAACATTATTTGTCTTTTACAGTACAGTCATAATAAAACCAGAGAAGAAAGTTTCCACACAGTTATTAATAATTTACATCCAAACAGAAATCATTGCATTACTGTGGACATATCTACAACTGTAAATAATAAACAGTGCACACCATCTTCCCCAAAGTGTATTATCATCAAGCCCAAGAATCAATCAGGTACTATGAACTATGATGGGAATAAAAGAAAGGGATGGGATCTTGTCTTGCATTTTGCTCTATTGAAAAGTTATACATTATTTTTAAAATATAAATTAGCATTTTTACACTGTTGTTAATGTGATCTTTTTCTTTTGCATTTTCATATTGTAGTGCACTCTGTATAGAATAAATAATGTTTTTGTAATAAATCTGAAATGCATTATGATTTAAACCAATATTTTCTTAACCTGCAGATGTTATTCTGCCTGCAGCCTCAGCTGGTATAGGCATGTCATTGATACTGGTATCAATTTTGCTCATCCTCTACAACACTGGTTTTATTTGCTTAAGAAAGAAATGGCCAAAAGTCTTGGTATGTACTCTTGAAAAAGATTATGTATTTTCATTAGATATATTCTGCTCAGTTGATCAAAATGGTTTTGTATCCTTACAGAGCTTCAGTAGCATTCTCTCTCTTCCTCCCTCCCTCCTTTCTTGGACTACAACTTGCAAAATTCCTTAGTGAGCATGATTAGTAGCCATGGTGACTTGGGATCTGGGGAGCTGTAATCCCCAAAATGCACTTTCGGAGTTCTACTTGTAGGAGGCTTGAGCTCTGTTAGGGTGGGACAGAACCTTAGGAAGAAAGAGTATCTTCCTGTATTACACAGAAGAATCCTGTCCTTTGGCCCTTGTGAATCCGAGGTGTTTTAGTCACTGTCTTGAGGCAGCTGGAAAATCTCTGTGAAAAGACAAGGAAAGGGTAGTCCCATCCCAGCTGCATAGTGCCCTCAGCCTGAAGACATCTCACATTCATTTCTGCACACTCAGTACATGGGGGGGGCAGCATTGTGGCCCTACCCTATTCAGTCCAACCACCATGCATTTGGTGAACCGTGGGAAGGGCTTCTAGGTGCATGTAGTTTTACACACATAGGGACGCTGCTACCATAGCTAGGAGGGCCACTCTACACTGAATATACAGTACTGCCTTCAGACTTGATTGTGGGCCCAAGATCAATCTAGCCATTAGTCAAATAGGTGGCAGTTACTCCTGGTTGGATCCAGACATTGTGAAAATAAACCATTTCAATCAGTACAGTGTAACTTAGCATGACTGGAAAAAAAAAAGTCAAATTCATTTCAGTGAGACTGCTGGAAGCATGACTATATCTGACTCCAGGCCCCTGTGTTTGGAGACATGCACCATGAAACCCATGAATTTGGTAATGATTAAATCCTACATATGCTGAAGTGGAAATGAGAAAGGCACACCAATTCACACAGAAGCAACAATAGCAACACATACCTTAGTTGCCTGAACAAAGCATGGACCTGTTAGCATTCTTTATTTTAAAGAAGCATCAGCCCTAAATTTAAATTAAGGACATTAAATTTTGACAGGAAAAGTAAACAATTATGTGCGATATCTTAGACCTGTTAATGGAGAATACTGGGTCTTTCATACCTAAGCCTAGTTGGACACCCTGGGAGAATTCCCTAGGGGAGTTAGTAAAAAAAAAACCAATTTCCCTCTTGTACCTGCTCAGGGCAGAAATATTATACAGTCTACCAAATTCTGCAGAATTCACTCTGACCATGCTAAATCTCTAGCCATAGTTCAGACCTCCACAACAAAATAGATCCAGATTTTGTGTTTCATCTTTAGGGGCCAGCAAAAGATGTGTTATATCTGGAGTTTTGCTTTCAGATACATTTTGAATTAAACATGAGCATATGTGCAGTTTTTATTGCAATGTGTAGTCATGCAGTTGCAAGAGTGACTTTAGCTCATCATAGAGCCCCTACTTTGCATGGGTGCCAGGTTTCAATCTCTGGTGTCTCCAGTTTAAAAAAAAAAACATTCTGTGCTTCTGACCTGAACCAAAGAGTTACAGCCAGTCAGAGTAAACAGCACAGGGTTAGGTGAACAATATACTGACCTGGTACAGTGGGGTCTCGACTTACGAACGGCTCGACATACGAACGTTTCGACTTACGAACCGCTCTCATAGGAATATATGGACTCGACTTACGAACTTAGATTCGAGTTACGAACTCTTTTCCCCCCCTTTTTTTTTAAAGCTAAGTCATCTTAGGTTAAAAGGAAAAAAGAAAAAACATCCCCCTCTAGTGGCAGAAGGCGGAATAGCAGCTTCCCATTAGTTTCTATGGACGAAAAGAGCAGATACGGATTAAATGGTTTTCAATGCATTCCTATGGGAAATGCAGATTCGACTTAAGAACTTTTCGACCTGAGAACTGCCTTCCAATACGGATTAAGTTCGTAAGTCGAGACCCCACTGTATAAGATACCTTCCTATATTCCTATCCCATTAAAATTAGCAATTTTTATTCTTATGCAAGATTGCACTTCTCACATTTAGTCTTGATTATCAGCTATCTGACCTCGGAGCAACAAAATGTGGAATTAAGTAAATGAAAAAGAAAGTAATCTTGATAATCAGGTGATGTTGTTTTTACCAAAAAGTTTTCTCAGTAAAGTCTACAAACCCTTTGGAAGCAAATCCCTCTATAAACTGTGGGATTTACACTGTAATATGAATTATTAAATTCATATTAAAGCCAACCAATTATTGCCTTCAGGTGTGACCTATTAATTGCTATTTTTGTGTTGCAAGCCAATACTGTTTAGAAAAATCTACCCCATTTTCCACCTTTAAATTTAAAAAATTGCCATGTTTAATGTTTTTCTCCCCCACAGAAACTCATGCCTATATTGCATTATTCAATCTTCGAATCAGATCCTGAAGAAACGCACAACATCCAGGTCACCCAGGAAAATAAAAAAAAAGTACGGGGATATTATGATGATGAAGAGGAGGATAGTGGAAGTGATGTTGAAAATGCATATATCATTCGTCGTACTGACAAGATTTCAAAATCCTTGTCTGTGGTGGACACTATGGAGCAGTTGTCTACAGACCACTCATCTGCTACAAGTAATACAGCTGGACTTCTAGCTGCTGAGCCAGAAGTCCTTCAGAATGAAATTGACAAAGGTGAAACTGTCCCAAACAAATTATTTAATCCATCTGAAATGAACTCAACTGAAGAACCTGAGTCGTGCCACAGCAATGTGAATTTAAATAGTGTGAAGCTAGGAATAACTGACAAAAATTGGGATGTTACTGCAGTACTATCTGACCAAGAGGATCCAGCCGACTTGAAAGAGTTGTGTATTTCACATGGCTCTGAATCAACCCTTTTCACTGATCTATCAAATGTGCAGACTGCCAGTGCTCATAATATCTCCCTTGACTGGCAAAAGTCTGATGAGTCTGGAGAAAGTGAGTCATCCGATTCAGAAACAGACAATGTAGGTGATTACATGAGAAGATGAAATCTGCAAACTGATGCCTTACCATTTTGTAACACTCTGGTCATTATGTTATCTTATTCCCTTGTGAAAGAACGGGGGAGTACATGTTTTCAAATGCAGTTAGTGCTATTCATCTATGGATGCGAATCTAGCACTGTTTTAAATGGTCATAGTATCAGCATATGGCTGGAGGTTCCAGTCTTTCAAAGAGTCAAGGACTAGTCATCTTCAAGGACAAAAATAATCCCAGCTCTTGAAATAAAATTAATTGAAGGAGACAGGTCACAAACTGTTTTTAGATCCTGCCCTGTTGCCAAAGGGTAGCTTTTAAACCTATCTTGAGATTGGAACTCTCTTTTACTGTGATATAGTTGATATTCTGTGCCACTGGTTTATCAGCTATTGCTCAATAGACTTAAGAATGGGACTAATTTTTCAAGACTCTTGATTCACTTCTGAATGGATCTCCTCTTTTTTTGCCAGTCATAACCAGAGACTTTTCAGACTCAAATGGTGCATTGTTTTTGTCTATATCTCAGTTTATATGGGATACTGGAGAGTTTAGTGGCATCACTTACAAAACATACAAAGCTTCTAGTGTGACACAGTGCTCCTACTTTACTACTCCCATTTCATAGTTATGTGTATTTTAATTCAATCAGGATTAATCAAGCCACTGCCTAGCGTTGTATCACCATCACTTTGCATAGCTTTTTCTGTATCTTTATGTCAGAGTGAGGAAACCTCAGCTCTTGAGCTACTGATAATTTATGCTTTCACCCAGTGGTATAGTGGTAAATTTCGAAGGAGAGGTGCTTGTTCATCATGACATCTCCATAGCCAGTCTCCCTGCAAAGAGTCCAAAAATCGGTCAGTTGAGTTAATTTGTATCAAAATACTGTACAAGTTTCAGCAATGTTTGTTCTACTAGAAGCAGCTCTTTTGCAAAAGCTAATGGCTCTTAATTGTGCATTCAAGACCAAACCACTCTCAAAAACTTTGCAATGCAAGAGGAATAGCTTGTAACAATATACTAAGAAAATCCATTTCTTCTTCCATTACTGTGAGAATTGCTGCTAAATGTAGAGGGAACAGGAAAACTTGAGTTGGGTGGCAGATTGTCATAGCCCCTCCCACTCAGAAAGTCCCAGGATTTCAACCCTGCAAGGCCTAGTTTTACTATACCACTGCTCCCATCATCCTTCACTGTTGTCCAGATTAGCTAGGGAATTGGAATTCAACAGCAACTGAAGGGCCATTGATTCCCCAGTTGTTTCAGACTGGTAAGGTGAAAAGGAGAAGAGGTGGAAAATAAACTGGATGAGTCTAAGCTATTTCCTTCTCAACTTAAACTAACATTTTTCCAGTGTCTTGTTCCAGACAATCTCTGCTTGAGCTGCAGAAATGTTATACCACTTATTTTAAGGTGCATATTCTAGTATTCATATAATCAGGACAAGACTTTGTGTTCTGTGAGGCCATCTTACTTCACGCAGAAGTAAAGACTGCCAATAAACATACAGGAGACATGCTGTTATTAAGTCAAAAGCATTCTGCACTTATTTTGTGTGAGCTGTGTTCTTTATCACAGTTGTCAAGGCTTGGCCATTGGCATGTAATGGGCTGTTATATGTTGACATTGTTTTAAAAAGCCATTTTAACATGTAAATCCTAAGAACTGAACCTTGACATTAGTTGTTTGCTTTCAGAAATCAGAAATAATGGGGGAAGGGGAAACTTCAGGAAGGGGTTATTTAAAGCCACAACTAACTTTTTCTTCATTCTTCTTGTTTGGGTACCACATTGCTCTTTTAAGGAGCCAGATAATTCCTTAAAAATAAAGCAGAGGGACTCTGTTATTTGCAGATAATATGGAGTTATTTCCTAAGAGTACAATTTGAAATGACTCTATTTTTGGAAAAAAAATACACCATGACTACATTTTTATACCAATGTTAATTTTACAAACTATGTTAACAGTTGATTGTGAAGTTCTGTTGATTCAGCAGTTTCCAGAGCAAGGCCCAAAATGTTGCATCTACAGCTGCATATACATTCCCAAATTTGTATTCATGTACCTGTGAGAACATTTTTAAGTGCTATGATAGTCTCGAGAGAGATCTAGACTCTTGCTGGCTCCTTTAGTCTTCTGGCTGTACTGTGAATTGCATCCCCCACCTTGAGAAACTAATAGTAATTGATGCTGGACTCACATTAAGTTGCAAAGAGTAGCAAAGGAACTCTTTCCGCACCTCCTTCTGATTTGTTAAAGGCAAAGCTTGGAAACATTGCTTTTAAAGATAAAAACTCCCAGAATCCTCAAGATGGCAGACCAATCAATATATTGCGTAGGGGTTCTGAGAATTGCGGTCCAAAAAAGTAACTTTTCTGTTCCGTGAATTAAAGAATATCTTAAATCTCTTGCTATAGGTGCAGTTACTAATTAGAGCTCTGCTGGATAGCTCAGTGATTTAGTTATCTGTTTGGGAGCTTGATTCCCCACTGTGCCTCCTAGCGGTAGAGCAACCTGCACAGCCCCAGGGTGCTCTCAGAAGAAGGGAATGATGAATCATTTCTGAGTATTTTCTGTTTGAAAGCCCTGAAAAGGGTTGCCATAAGTGAAAATTTATTTGATGACACATGATGATGATTATTACCTAGGTTTTAATGTGGACAAATGACTTTGTTACAGAGGAACTACAGTACTTAGGTATAATTAAAAAGTGTGCTGGAAGCACCGACTTCCTTGGGAGCATATCTGCTACTCAGCAGGGCTTCCAGCCTTCTGTTAAAATAGACCTTTTCAACTTCAGTCAACACAACAAACTGGCCTTAATTTTAGCCACACATTTATGATTGCAGAACAAGAAATACCAAAAGATTTCTGAATGAGCATTATACAGTGAAACCGTTACACTTACCTCATTATTATTTGCATTTTCCTTACATCTTTTTCAAACTAAAAGTTTTATATACTTTTAAGTCCACTTCCTGGACTGTTCTTTTTTTTATTTGGACTGACATTTTAGTTTTTTATAAAACCGAATTGTGTTTAATTTTATTGCCTAAAATTTGTTACATATTTTATACCATAATTATATTTTTATTGTTTATATTGTGTCTTAACAATGTCTTTGCACACTGTCCATAGAACTTCTGTTGTGAATATTAAGAACTACAGAAATACTATGAATAAACATTTTTAAATAGCTTTTTCTTCTTCTTTCTTTTCTCCTGGAGTATGTAATACTTAATGGACAAGACATAGATAATCAAAACAAAGACTGGATTGTGTGATCATCTTGGGAATAATTTTTAAAATATTTCTAAAAAGGCTCAAGACAGTGTTTGTTTATTAAATGTTTCTTGCCAGCTGTCTGTTTTAAGAGTATTACAGAAACCTTAGTCTGATATTTTGAAGTTGGAAGGCAGTTATTCTTCAAGCATGCATACTCCATGCATGATAATGGGAAGCCCAGCTTCTCTACATCCTAAAAGTGAGTGTCTGAAGAGGAAACTGTCTTGTACCTGTGGAAACTTCACAATGTGGAAAAATTATGTTCTTAGTTGCATGTAAAGCCAGCCTCTGCAGTCTTCTCTTCAGAAAGTTGTAGATTTTTTTTAAACGTCTGATTTCTTTAAGATGTTATTAATTTCCATTCCCTTGTTTTGTTAATTGGGCACAGATAAGGACTAGTTTGGTGAATGCATTAAGTGATACTTGTGAAATGGTGTTGTTGTTGCTGTTTAATCGTTAAATCGTGTCCGGCTCTTCGTGACCCCATGGATCAGAGCACGCCAGGCCCTCCTTTTTTCCACTGCCTCCCAGAGTTGGGCCATATTCATGTTGGTAGCTTTGATGACACTGTCTAACCATCTTGTCCTCTGTCGTCCCCTTCTCCTCTTGCCTTCACACTTTCCCAACATCAGGGTATTTTCCAGTGAGTCTTCTCTTCTATGAGAAGGCCAAACTATTGAAGCCTCAGCTTCAGGATCTGTCCTTCCAGTGAGCACTCAGGGTTGATTTCCTTCAAAATTGATAGGTTTGTTCTCTTTACAGTCCAGGGGACTCTCAAGAGTCTCCTCCAGCACCACAATTCAAAAGCATCAGTTCTTCAGTAGTCAGCTTTCTTTATGGTCCATCTCTCACTTCCATACATCGCTACTGGAAAACCATAGCTTTGACTCTGCAGACCTTTGTCAGCAAGGTGATGCCATCCAGGTTTGTCATCACTTTCCTTCCAAGAAGCAGGCGTCTTTTAATTTCGTGACTGCTGTCACCATCTGCAGTGATCATCGAGCCCAAAAAAGTAAAGTCTCTCACTGCCTCCATATTTTCCCCTTCTATTATCCAGGAGGTGATGG